TTCCTATGTTACAAACAATAACTCCCAGTACTTCCTATGTTACAAACAATAACTCCCAGTACTTCCTATGTTACAAACAATAATTCCCAGTACTTCCTATGTTACAAACAATAACTCCCAGTACTTCCTATGTCACAAACAATAATTCCCAGTACTTCCTATGTTATAAACAATAACTCCCAGTACTTCCTATGTTACAAACAATAACTCCCAGTACTTCCAATGTTATAAGATTGATTTGTACTCACAGATTGTATTTGCTAAGCTTCAGTTATTCTCTCAAGTGGAGAGGGAAGACTAATTAATTTTTGTAGATTTCAAACAAAGATACATTTTAGAAAATAAAACAAATTATCAAATTACTTTACCGGTACACACAAATCTATAATAATTTATCTGGCTTTCCAACTATGCTGTGTGTGGGTTTAAAAAAAATACCATTTCTGTTCAGAGCAACGACTTACTCAGTAGAATTCAACATCTCCTGTCATTTACAAGTTTTCCCTTCAAGCCAATTATAAACTACTGTCAAATTTATGTAACTTCAAATTTGCTATTTCTACTGGTTATAAACATGTACTTAAGAGAAGTAGGCCTGAGTAGACAAGAGGTTTGAAAAGAATAGAGCAGTAGGTGGGTAAGTTTGTAAAATATATTGATATTTCAGCAGATCAAACAGGTGGGAGGTTCTCATTTTATATCCTAGCTTGTAAATGTCTGAAGTTTGAGTTTCTAATTCATTAACCACTATAGACATTGTATCACTGAGTAATAAAACAAGAAAACATGCCATACGACACACAAAAAAAGCATACTGTGATGCCAATTTTATTGACATACAATGACCATAAAGTTAGTTAATTAAATTTGAAAACAACTCTGTATAATGTTGTGACATGCACCCTTTGACCCATCCATTGAGAAAGGGTTAATGTGTGATTACTGTTCCAACATTCAATTTCTGTTAACAAAAGAGAAAAAAAACCTGACACTGCTTGAATGCTGTGTAATGAACATTCTGATGTTTAGAACTATCTTCCAATTCCTGGTTAGTGAATGGACCTTTGAATGTGTGAACACAGCCCTAGTGTATATGATGATAATACATTACAAGATGTATATAAAGTAGAAATATGATATGAATGCTTGAATCACAAGAACAGATTTTGAAAAATTAAACAAACCAAAATATGCTTTTGTCATTCATGGAATTGCCTACTAAAGCTTGTTTCTTTTCAGAAAAATCAAAGGAGTTTTTCGCAAAGCCGTCCACGAATCTACCTCAACCAACAGAAGGAAATCGGCTCTCTTATGTCACGTTGTTACAAGAAAGAAAAAAGGGTCACAAGTTACCTTTTGTTGAGAAATTCTCTTGTGTTAACTCTGTTGTTCCTTCATCCAGTGGATCTGTTTACAGCCAAGCAACAGTGTCACGCGTCATGACATCAAGTAGTGAGTGTAACGTCTCATCCTTGATGACAAGTTCACATGCAGTAGCAGTGAACCAACTTAGAGAAACATTACCTGACATCCAAGAGTCTCAAAAAGCATCACCTGGGAAAGGTGTGAAATTTAAAAGTAATATAAAAGAAAAACAAGAAAGAGACCCCAAGACCATTCAAATGCTCTTTCACACCAATCGTAGCCCATATCTCAATACCTTGTCTGAAGGATCAGCGGAGAGATCTGAACAGGAAGCACATCAGATAACCAATGGACAGCAGCCAAGCTCTTCTAGCAGCAGTCCCATTTCACATCAGGATTCTCAGTTGTATTCACCAGAGGCTAAGAACCTAGGACTATTACCAGTAGTAACATCAAGCAGTGTCGATCACTTGAATGGACCTTCAAACATTTGTCCAATGGATACACATCCACTGGTAAAAACATCAGACAATGCTTATCACAACAATCTAAGGCCTTCTTATAGATGTGTGAATCATGTGAACAGTTCTATATCAATTTTAAATAACCAGGAAGTATTAGGCTTAAGCTTCGTGGAGGTGAGTAGGAACCACTCATCTCCTGTTGCTAGAGTTCTCACACTAGGTAGTAATGCTGGTGTAAGCCCAGTATCAAAACTGATTGAAGTGCCTTCTGTCGAGAGAATGCCAAAAGCAAGCTCCATAGGCTGTAAAAGTAATTTTCCAGCAGTAACTGATTTACCAACACTTGTATCTTCTCGAGATGATATGCGCCTGCACCAGGTTTCACTTCTTCAAAATAGAGATAATGTTAATAGTGATCACATTCGCTGTCCTTCATCAAACCAGGCATCATTGAGACCTAAATCCCTGGTTATAGGGACCAGAAACAATAAGCCTAGTCTTTTACTGAACGACTCAACTGGTGAAGTGAACTATTGTTTTGATTCTCAAAATTCTGACAATCTCTCTAGTTTCGTGGAAGAATGTGATAGTACTGTTTTAAGTGAGGAGTCCAGCATGGACTCTGTTGATGAAGGCACAGGAAGGTATACATTGACTTCTCAAAAAGATGTGAAAAATGATATAACATTGTCTAAATCACCCTTCCAGTCATATTCTTCTTCCAAGGAGACTTTAGATAGAGAGAAACATGTTAGTGAAAAAGCACTTCCTGGTGAAGATGGAACCAGTCATTATAAAGATGTTTCTTTGAGGCATGTTGAGGATGTGTCATCTAAGTCATTTGAAGGTTTGTAAAATCTTCTGTTAACTGTATAAAGTACTGTTCTAATTGTTTTTAGCTTTCAGTAAAGTTTCTCCAAACCTTCCAGCTATTTCAATTTCCTCTTTCCAGGTTATCATTTTCTTCCTGATAAATTCCATTCTTAGCAAACATTGTATGTTAAAGAACTCCTTTTAAGTTAACAAAGTTTGAAACTGTGTTTTTGTTTAATCTATAAGTTGAATGTACAAAATGCAAAACGTTGAGGTAAACAGTTCAAGCAGCCACTTTCTCAGTGATCGTAGATACTCAGGTTAAACTTAATCACTCAGTGTGATTGTTGTGAGACATGAGGTCTTCCAAAGACTTGGCACAATTGTAATTGTTACAAGTCTTATAAGGTGAAATATAAATATAGTGATCAGATGTAAATATGTTTTATAACTTATTCTTATGAGAGTATCATACGTTTTCTTTTTGAATATCCACCCTAACAAAATATACTTCATTAAAAACAAATTTCATTGGTATTTATAAAGGTTTTTCTGTTTAGAAAATTAGCCTCGTTTATGTGAATACTTGACTCCCTTTGGACACCAGTTAGACTAATCAGGAAATAGGGCAGATTTATGTAATGTAGGCAAAGAAATTGTATGTATATACATACATTCCCATAGAGGTTAATATATATATATATATATATATATATTAGTAATTTTTCCGTTTCGCTTGCTTATGTTAGTTAAAAAATGAAATTAAATAATTAGGTATTTCATGCAGAATGTTGTATGTGTCCAGTGAATAAGAGAGAGACTGAATTTCTGTTGGACAACATAGGTCTTACATTGATCTTAATGTGAAATCTTTCAAATTGTTCATTAGGTTTTAAATTCCAATATGAATGATAATCAAGTAAAATTTTAACATTTCTAGTTCTGAACGGCTACCTTTTCTACTGACTAATGAGTGTTAAAGATTATAGTCGTCGAGCTTTACAGTAAAATGATGATGACAGTACTTCATTTTGGTGAAGATAGGGTAGTGTGTTTCTAACTATTCTGCATTGGAATATGTTGTATGTATATTGAAGTATGAAGATTTACTGTTAAGTATGGCAAGGTAAGGTGTCCTGACAGACAGCAAGTTTTGGGTGCGGTACTGAGTCTGTTCTTTCAAATTGTGATGTGATTGTCTATAGTATTATTTAGAGGTCATTTGGAAGAGTGATCTACATGTTCTGGTGTATTGTAGGTCATTTGGAAGAGTGATCTACATGTTCTGGTGTATTGTAGGTCATTTGGAAGAGTGATCTACATGCTCTGGTGTATTGTAGTTTATTTGGAAGAGTGATCTACATGTTCTGGTGTATTGTAGGTCATTTGGAAGAGTGATCTACATGTTCTGGTGTATTGTAGGTCATTTGGAAGAGTGACCTACATGTTCTGGTATATTGTAGGTCATTTGGAAGAGTGATCTACATGTTCTGGTGTATTGTAGGTCATTTGGAAGAGTGATCTACG